CACCCGCCCGCCCGCACGCACGCGCGCACACGCGCACACGCATGCCAGAAACAAACGTGACGCCCACGCCGTTTCGTTGAATTATCTGTACCCGCGCAGCCGGTGAACGCATGTTGGTGTTGGAAACAGGTACGACAAGTCAAGTGTTTCGTTCCCCTTCCCCCCCCACCCTTCTCCCCCTTTATTATCCGCTTTTATTTAATCCACTTTTTTTTTGGACTTGGCTGTATTGCACTAGAGTAAGTAGCGGCAGCAGACACCTTTGTGGATACCTGAGGCGTTTGCTTTTGAGGGGGGGAGGGGGGGTTAAGCTTTGGGATGTGTGTCTTGGGAGTTTGCTTTTGAGACTTTTGTGGATGAGTGGGGATGGATGGAGGTGTGATGGATGAGTGGGTGGGTGGGTGGGGGTGTTCGTTTTTTTTTCTCCTTCCGCGGATGTGATGGGTTGTGACGGGGTGAGACGGAGGGGGTGTTTCAGGTGTATGTGCGGAAGGATAGGATTACTGTGCTGTGCTGTGCTGTGCTATGCTGGATTTACGCTGCGGTGAGTAGGTGAGTAAAGCAAGTAGGCTGAGCTACATAGTAGACATTCTAATGTGGTGGTTGGGTATGTTCCAGTCGACGCTGCAAGTCGACTAAGACTTTACGCCAGCAGAATTGCGTGGTGCGAGACGAATCCCAGCTGGAGTGGCTTGGAAAGATGTTGCTAAGCTCAATGCAGTGCTACAGTCAAGCTTTTCCGGCTGGGAATTTGTTTTGCAGTTGCTGGCTTGGGCGTATATGTGTAGCCAAGCCACAAAGACGATGGGGGTGACATTTTTGGAGAGGGGGGAAGCCCTGTTGGATGTGCGCCACACCTTATTGCTGTGGGCTGGGTCTTGTACTGCTATTGTCTACTATCGATACGTATGTGTCGTGCGATTAGTGGTGGCAAAATGGAGTAGCCGGATAGTACGCTTTTCTCTTGAGCTTGCGGATTTGAGACTTTGCGGGTCTTTTTTTTTTCTCATTCTCGTGGTGTTGCTGCATGCAGAATGAGCTGAGTACTCAACGCATGCAAGGCGTGGTGGTGGTGTCTCAATATGACTGTGCATGTACATGGCAGTGGTGGCCTAACTGACGGCTTTTTTCAATTCTCGCAATTGTTGCATCTCATCTGCTGTGTCTGATCTGACGGCAGATCTTAGACTGCGGAAGTCCGGATACTTGGAGTAGTACCAGATACTGGAAGCCAGCATAAATCGTGCACAAATTATGCACGTGTCGTAATCCAGTTGTCATTGTTGACGGCAGACAGACGGCCTGATCTACCGCCCGAGAAGAAAAAAGAACGCCTGGTCACGACATTTAGGCATGTCTAGTACCGTTGAACTCCATTCTTTACTTGTTCTCACTACCCCGCATACGCATGTCGCCATGCAGCCAGCAGTGCCGATCTTTATACAAGCGGCAAAAGTCAGAGCAAGGCTGGCTGAAGAACCAGCGACCTGGCTGAAGTCTGGCCTGTATATTGTGCAAACACGAGCCCGCAGCGGAGCCTAGGAAAGGCCAATTCTCGTATGGACCCTTCCGCTGCTGCGCAATCTGCGTAAACGGCTTGCCACGGAATGCGCCTCGTCATGTTGTGCTGGATCCAGAACGGAGGGTGTGTGTGTCCATCTTTGCCTTTGTTGGCAGCAGTCTAGTTCCTATTCGGGCAATGAACGGCCCCTTTGGTATACACACGTACTCGTTTAAGCGACAAGGCCGTGACGGCTGCGGGTCCAAGTCTAGATTCCCTCGCCTTTTATTCCTTGCGCTCGTGGAATAATGGAGACTGTGATGCTTGGCGGCGGCGCAATGAGCAGGCGGAGTGAATGTCAGACCGATATCTGCGACAATGTCAAATTGACGGGGGGGCAGGAACAGTCGCGTGCAACCGATAGTGCAGCGCGTATGTTAGCGGCCTGGGGGGAAGAGCCCTATGGCGGCAGAGCACGAGGAAGAAGTAAAACGTCAACCTCACCCCATTGAGGCCTGCAGCCGTACAGTACACGGCAAGGTTCTCACTACCGTCATCGGAGCGGCCGTAGCATCAAGCAGTGCATCGTGCTTGGTAGCTTTGGGCATGCACAGGCGATTCCGCTGACAGCCATCCCACTGCTCACCCGAACGCCAACTACGTCTGCGCCCGCTACATACCATGCCATTCGCGTACAATATTACCGAAATCGCTTGCGCCGATGACTGACGTCTTGCACATGGAAGTAATACACACACGCGTGCATGCGCCCTGCATACCAACTATTCATATGCTTTATCCCAATTGCCGACAAAGTATCTGTCTAACTCAATCCCGGCAGTCCACAACGACGCCAAGTTAGCTCAATCCATTGAGCCAGAGGCCAGGCCGACAGAGACTCCGTGGCTTTTCAACTTGCTGTCGACCTGCTCAAAAATAGGGTAAACAGAGTCATTGTTAATCAAATGCCAAAGGGGTCTGTGTCGACCCGCTTATCGTCGTGGCGCATGGTCCTTTGTTTACCCGTTTGCTTTTCTGCCATGTTTGTAACGTTTGACACTTCCAACGTCTGGGGCAATAACAATACTGGGCTTCTCCGAATGCAGGCCGCAGAAGATGCAACACTGCCATCACACTTATGATCTGACAGTCCGCCTCCCCTGTCCTCTTCTTCCCCCCCCCCCTCCTCCCCCCCTCAGCATCCATCGCCAACGTCAGATTAACCGTACTAAATTCCTTAGCGGTCAGATAGCCTTACCAGGCCTTGTCTAGGCTCAAAGTGTAGACCCTACTTACAGGGTTGTCCACCCGGCCCTGCATCAGCCAGGCACCGCCGCTTCCTCCTAATATTACAGCAACAGATGCACCACGCGCCGCACGTCGCACGCCACCCAAGTCATGCACCCCCTCCACAACCTCGCTGCTGTTTCTCTAGCGACGCCCATGGGCGCAAGGGGGGTGCCTGGGCTATGAACATGGAGTCAGGTTGCCGTGCCCTTCTCCGCTTCGTCTGAGACTTGGATATAAGAAGCACTTTTCACCTGGCTCATGTGGCTTTTTGTTCCAGGCTACAATTCACTGCAATATCTTTGCAATCTACTCTTCCCCTATTTGGACTTATCGCTGTGAACCAGGCCATAGCTTTATTATACGCTCTATATTTGAGTCTCACTACAGGATCAGCGCAGGGTACAGCCACTCCATCGTCCCGCCCGTTCGAAATTGTGAAAGAAGTTTAAATTACTCCGGCTCCTCGTATTACCACAAAATCTTTACGCATTTCCGACATCCCAGGGAACCGGATATCTGACAGCCTTTGGCGGCCATTTGCGAAACCGTATTTGACACCATCGATCGTCTGTGCGTGATATATAGTCACTCGATCACCTGCTTGCCTTTTTCGAAAACTGCTTCTGGAACAAGAAATCACTCGGAGTCCCCCAAAACCTTCTACACCCCCGGTCAAATCTTGGTTCACGCGTCCTACACCATGGTCAAACTCGGTGCTCTGGTTCTTGGGCTTCTCAGTCTCACGGCTGAAGTATGCGCGCAAAAAACCGTCAGGATAATGCCCTTTGGAGCGTCCATTGTCTCAGTACGTCTTGACAACTTCACATCCCGTATATACAGTTCCACGGACTAATTTTAAATCTTAGCGATGCTGGCGCGCAAACCTCCAAACCTCACTCCGAGCCGCGGGCATCACCAATTTTGAGTTTGTGGGCAGTCAAACAGCACCGACATGCTCAGGCACCAACATCGACCCAGACCACGAAGGCCACCCCGGATCTCAAGCAACTACCTGGGCTGCCAACGCCGACCTGGTTGCCAAGCTGAAGCAGAACCCCCCGGACGTAGTCATCATGCTCATCGGCACCAACGACGTTCTCATCGGCCAAAAGCCCATCGTTCAGATCCTCGCTGCCTACGACGTCCTCATCGGCCAGATGCGCGCCAGCAACAGCAAAATGCAAATCATCCTCTCCAACCTCCTTCCTCTAGACCCGGCCCGCTTCAAAGCCACCCCTGTGCAAGGGATCAAGGACCTCAACGCCGAAATCGCAAAATACGTAGCCACCCAAAATACCGCTGCGAGTCCCGTCCGCTTCGTCGACAACTACTCTGGCTTCGATGCCGTCAAGGATACCGATGATGGCGAGCACCCCAACCTCACTACAGGAGTGCAGAAGATGGCAGCCAAGTTCTTTGGGCCGACCCGAGATGCGATCAGAGCTGTTAGTGCGGCGAAGAGGGTTAGGACTGTTAGCGTGAGGTGGAGGAACAGAGAATAGAGACACTACTCTTGTTGTTGATGTTGTTTTTTGTTCGTTTTTTGTAGCATTTTAATTGGCATAAATTTATGAAGTCACGACCTCTCCATCTCTCTCTCTCTCTCTCATTTCGTCTCTTTCTTGACAAACCATCATTAACATTAGTGGTGCTAATACAGAGTAACTTTTGACATCGCTTTTCTTTTCCCCATCTCTCTTTCGACTTCACGAAGTAAAAAGGTCAATCGTAACCTTTTTTTTTTTCCAAAGCAACGACTTTTCGAAACTCATCAAGTGCGATTGCGACAACTTTTCCCCCTTCGCACCAACGTTGTTCTTCCACCCCTTTCTCTTTTTTTCCTCCTCCTCCTCCTCAAGACTTGTCAAACCCCCAAGCTGCCCCAACCATCCAGCAGAAAGACCAAGCCAAAGACTTGTACGCCGTGTCAATGGCAAATCAAGAATTTCCGCTTCCGCTCCCGCTCCCGCTCTTCTTCTTCACCGCCGCCGCAGCAGAAGTAGTCTTCTGCTGCATCGCCAATCGCTTTGCCTAACTTTCATCTCAGCAAACCCGCCCTCCCCAAACACACACCATCATTTCCCTGTATGCGTACATACCACGATCCCACGCGAATGTTTATTCTTGATCAACTTGGCCTCTTGAGCTGCTCTTGCCTGTTGTTCTGCCATCTTCTACACGCAACAGAATATTAGCCTTGCATTCGAATTGTACACCTCCTCCCCTCTCTTGTTTTGTTTCGTGATGACTGAAGGAAGAGGAGAGATTGTTTGGGTTGGTCTGGTTAGTCATGCACAGTGGTGTCTTCTTACAGCGTCTTTGGCGCGCTGGGCATCTGCCATGGCGATTGTGGTGCTTGCGGCTGAGTCGGTGGTCGTGCAGACGTAGGTTGTGTCGTAGCCTGCCCGGCCCATTTTTATGAGCTTCTTGGGGGCTGTGGGGTGGATATATAGGTGGGGGGGGGGGTGTGCGGAGGGTGCTGCGGGTGCGGGATGTGACTTGGGGTTGTGTTGGTTGGGATGATAGGTGAGATAGGGAGGGGGAGATTATTCGACCGAGGGTTGATAAGATTTTTCTGGGTGATTTTTTGTTTTAGTTTTGTGGGGTGAAAGTGTATATTAATGGTGAAAGTGGTGTTGTGTAGCGAGATTGGATGACGGTGAATTGATACTGATGTGAGACGAGTGAAGATGAGAGAGAAGGGAGTATTTGTATGACCAATAGATATTGAATCTGCGGCAGGAGAACACACAGTAGGAAAGTACAATGACGACCTACATGTGCATCCAGAGCATACACAGAGTGCAGGCGCTCTAGAGGCAAGCAGTATCACTTTGGACCTACAGTGTCTAGACATAAAGGCAACGCAGTAACCACAACTGGACATTGAGATGTAAAAATATCTGAAATTCTAGTCGATCGAGTATACACATATGCTGCCCCTTGACCCCTGAATCTAACTCTTATTTGGTCAATACAATCTTGAGCTTCTTGGGGCTGTGAGTGAAAAGGTTGGCATAGGCCTTGGGGACAAACTTCCGCTTGTTGGGCTCCTGGACAAAGTACTCGTAACCCTGCTTGTTGGCAAAGTTGATGGCGTCCTCCTTGGACTTGAACTCGATCCTGTGTCCGTTCATGAAGTCGGCAGATGACTGCCAGCCCATGAGCGGGTTCTCCCATCGGTGGCCCTTGGGAAGGACATCCCAGTCCATAAGCCAGTGTGATGCGTTCCAGGTACCAGACTGTGTGGCTGTCTTGGAGGGCTTGTAGATGCTGGGGGGGGGGTGTTAAATTAGTATGGCTTCTTGATATCAGATGGGTGGGGCCGACGTACCGGACAGTGCGTGCCTGAAGGTCGGTTGGGGCACCTGAGAGAACAGCGGCGGGTACACTTTCACCAGGCTCACTTCCATCCATAACACGCTTAGGGATGGGGGAGAAGTTGCTGGGGGATGTTAGCCGTTTATGTGACATGGTGCTCCGGGATCGCAAGTGACGCACGAGACGCGGTAATCGACAGCAACGTTGTAATCCGGACGGTTCCTCATTCCTTCAGCAGCACCCTCCTCGCGAATCTGAGTGGAAGAGCTGGTGAGCTTAACTGCGGGCGCATCCTCGGGGCTCGTCTTGTGTGCATGCGGAGTGGGCTCGTTTGTTGAATACGCGCGGTACGAAGGGATGGCGAATCTGGTGGCAGAGGGCCGCAGGGCGGGCGCAAGCACCCGCGATGCAATTGACCTGGGTAGGGCAGACATGGTGGTTGCAGAGTCGATGTGGCGGGCGCGGGTGTTGGTGATGTCGATGAGGTGAAGCTGGGGTGGCTCCTTGGCGAAAAGCGCCGGCATAATCCGTCCTGCAGCTTTCTTCTCGAACCTCACCACCGACCGCACGACCTCCATCTCCACTCCATCGTCTTGCCCGCCCTGGTACGCCGCCCGAACACAGACCGATACGCCGAGAGAGGGCAATTGATGTTAATTGAGTCGCAGCCGTCAAGATGAGCTTCATTACCAAGCGCGGTCTCTCGACCCTCATTCCCCCCAAGGTCCGGCTTTCTACCCGCCCCTCCTCTTGCGCATCGTGCTGACAATGCTCTACAGATTGCCTCTCCCAATGTAAGAGCTCCAATTCTTCAAGAAATGCACCCGCGATATTGCAAACACCTGCGACCGTGATCGCATATGCTTCAAACCACCACGAACCTCGCCCACAATCCTGGTTGCTCAAGCGAATCGCATTACACGCCCATAGCTCAACCCATCCCAAACATCACCAAAGCTGATACACCCACTAGGCCATCGGCTCTTCCCCCAACGCCGTCCGCATGCAAAAGGTCGTCAACTTCTACGAGAAGCTGCCCCGTGGCCCAGCCCCCGAGCCTGAGGCCAAGGGTCTTCTCGGACGTTACGCAAAGAAGTACATGGGCAAGAACCCATCAGGAAGGCGTAAGTACATCTGTGGTCGCTTGGGACGAGAGCAGCTGCAAATCACAGCACAAATTATGGCATATTAAACACGAAACTGACCGAGCACAGCACTCGTCCACGTCATTGGCTTCCTGATTGCGCTCGGCTACGCCCAGAACTACTACTTCCATCTCCGTAAGTTTGACTAGCTGCATAAATGAGGCGACGTGACTCACAGCTCCCAGGCCACCACAAGAACAACGAGCACTAAGCGGCTCGTTTGAGATGCGCTGGATGACCATGACCGGATAGACAGTACTTGTATAAGTAAAGTGTAGATGGAATCAAGCACTCTGCTAAGACAGTCTTTCTTTTTGTGCACTTGATTGTGTTTTTGCTCAGCCCATGTTTCAACATGCAACAGGCTGCGCCGCCTCGGACAATGCCCTCTAACTGCGATGGCCAGATGCTTCTGTTTGCATACAAACGTCTAGATGACATATATCATCAGAAATTTGCGACGTGTCTGATCGCACAGTCATATCGGTTGGAGCAATGATGGTCTCTCACGTGGTAGTTGCGCCATGTCCGTGTGATCCTGTCTTTCCGGCTATCTGCGCCTTTGCATTGCTCGCTCTAACTTCCCTGTGAATATCACATGCGTGAATGATTAAAGGTGGCACTATGTGTACTATGGATGCGATGTGCATAAGCCCTCGTCATACTCTGGGACTTCATACAAAGAAGGCCCCAGCCCGTGCCAAGACTAGCGCCTCTCACCATCGTGGCTACACTTCGCCTCAACCTCCTATACACCGATCTACACCCGCAATCCGCCCCGCCGCCAAAGGGCTCCTTGTACCCAATCTCTCCCATCTGGCCACGACTCTTCGCCGTCCGGTACAAACAGCGCGACTTTGCACGTGTTCGCGACTGCCCGCCAGCCCGCCCGCCAGCCCGCTCTGCCCGCCAGCTCCGCCTCGAAACCCTTGAAACCCTCCGCACCACCCGCCCTCCAAAGCAACCAACTTGCAGACATCGACTCTGCGGAAGCGCCCACTTGACACCTGTGGCGACTCTAAACATCTGACACTAGGTGACTACTTTCAACTTTTCTTAGCTCACAGGTCGCATATGAGCGATCGCGGGCAACCAGCTAGAGTCGACTCGCACCAGGCGACGCCGCTCACACAATGTCCTCTTCCAAACCCGAGTACAAGCATAGTTCTGACAATGGGTCTTGCGCCACCGCAGTTCCGGAAACTGTTATGGCAGAGCAGGTTGCCAACGATGTGGTAAAGGAAGCACAGTCGGTGGGACGTTCGGCGCCCATCGACGAATCTGCATCAACTACCAACGACCCCGCCGTTAATGGCGACCCGCCCTCGGGCACAGCGACCACAAAACCCACTCCGTCCGAAGCCCCCTCCACCAAACCCACTGCGAACGGCATAGATACAGCCTCGGCTGGTAGTGTACACGTGTCGCAGAAGAGCGAAGGACAAGCGGCAGCTGTAAGTAGTGACAATTAGGGGTATGGAGGTGGCATTGACAGTGGCAGGCCGACAACAAGCAGTCAGGCGCGTCACAGCATGAGACTAGACAGCCCCACCTTGCGGTGGGATCCAGCGAACTCTCGGTGTCCGACTCACTGGCTGTGGCTGACGCAAGCGGTGGTTCGGATACAGACATTAGCCGTCCTGGTAGCGTTGATCAATCGAAGCGGGATGGAAGTCATGTGCGGACCAGCTCAGCAGCGAAGAAGCAGCCCTTTAAGTCGGTATCTGTGACAAAGAGCTTTCTGGCGAAAACGGTTACATCAACTCCCGCTGCGCGACCGGGCGACAAAGCGACTCCTACTGCATCCCTCAAGACTTCCAACGTGCTTTCGGCAAAACCCCGCCTCGTCGCGAAATCAGGTACTAGCAACACCCCACGTACGCTCGGACAGGCCAACGGCGCGGGCGCAGGCCCAGATGCGAGCAAAGTCTGGAATAAGAACCAGCCAGTACCTCCACCTCCACCGAAGCAATTCACCGACGAAGAGCTGAAGCAGCAGTACGGAATTCACCTTGCGACACGCTTGCAGGCAGACGAGGCAGGCAAAGAAGCCAAGTGGGCGGATATCGACGACGACGAAGATGACTGGGCTCCGGAAACTGTGCAGTGGATGGACGGGACAAAATCTTCAGTTGCAGTGCAGCCAGAAACCCCAGTAGTGCCCGTTGAGGAGCCAAAGACGATACTCAAGCCCGAAGTACCCGCCGAGACACCGAAACCTTCAACATCTCCTGCCCCCACTGCGAATCCGCCCAAGCCTAGCGTTACTGGAGGCAACAAGACTATTTTGAAACCTGGAGCACATGCACAACCTACCGGAAAATCGAGTCTCGTCCTCAAAGGTCAACCAGAGAAGCCGACACTGGTAGCCAAACCATCGGCGACCGAAAAGAAATCACCATGGGCGCCGTTGCCTCCGATTGAGAAAGTATCTCCTGCGCAGATCAATCCTCCCCCCGCACACCAACCCCCTCCGCGTTACTCGCAGCGAGAATCCCATGGTTACGACAGCATGCCCCCGCAGCCTACCAAGGAAATTGCCCCCGACGACTTCAATCGCTCATGGCGAAATGACAATGGTGGACGTGATGCCCGAGATGGAAGAGAGCTTTTCAACTCGCAAAGTGGTCGATACGAACCTGTTCACAATGATGCACGGAGAAGTGGTGGACGCGACAGTAACTTCCGACAGCAGCCTTCGTTACTGCAGAGACCCGCTCAGGACGGGCCAGCAGAACCGTCAGCTGCGTTCCAGACATCGAGAGCAAGTGCGGATGGCCCTGCATGGGGTAGGCGAAGGAACTCTTCAAACGTTAGTGGGGGTATGCCTAGACGCATGTCGATAGATCCACGAGCACCAGACATGCCCACCGGTCCTATGCACATGGAACGTCGCGAATCGCATTCTATCAACGGTTACGACCATGCTGAGTCTGTGGCCTCCCGCAATTCGCCTTTCCAGCAGATGAGGTCTCCAAACGTTGCACACGCACACCCTGCTTCACCGTATGGCTCCGTCACTTCACCTGCCATGCAAGATGCACCGGCGCCAGTACAGGCACCGCCTGTGGAGAACCCTGTTGAGGTACAGAAACGTCTCATGGCTGAGAAGATTGAGCGCGCTCGTCTTAAGAAGCAACAAGATCAGGAGGCAGAGAAGCGAGCCGAGGCAGAGAGGAAAGAGCGCATTGCGAAGAAGCTTGCTGCTATGGGGCCGCCTGAATGCAAGCCCAAGGCCAAGGAGCAGTCACCCTCTCGGCCTGAGAAGCCGGTACAAAAGGAGAAGACGGCGGCGGCAGCTTCTGTGCAATCGCCGCCAAAACCACCTATCCCGACTGCGGACGGCGAGGTTACTCAATATGGCATGATGAAGGTGCATCAGCCACACCCAGTCAAGAAGTCGCCTCAAACAGAGCATGCCCGGCCAGGCCAGCAGGTGCCTTCTGCACCCGCGTCCTCATTGGAGCAGCAGTCTGCGCAGCCGTTTGACTCGCTTGCTCGTGACGGTGAAAAGTCGAGGCTGGGCGTTCATTCTGACGCCGCTCACCAAACAGACGGGGCTGTCCCTTCTGGGTCTAGGCCTCAGGGTCCACCAGCTGCCTGGGTGCCTGCGACAGCACCTCAACCTCGACCTTGGACCTCGCAAGTTTGGGGTCCACCGCAAGCAAAAGACCGAGCTCTGGGCAACGGTACCTTCGACTCTGGTTATCGAGGCCAATCTCGTCCTGGAGCCCAGCCGCCACTTCCTGTTCAAGCACCTGCAACAGCTCCAATTGGGACAGCTATCGCTCCCCAGAGTCTTACACCACAGTCAACTCGACAAATGCCTGCCTCGCAACCAATGTTCCAGCAGCGAACTCCGCATGCACAGCCCCCTCCACCTTCACGGTCGGGCAGGGTTGTCAAGCCCATCACTGGCAGCGGCTGGGACACTTTCAGTGAGATGATCCTCAAGGATGACCAAGAGGCTTTGGCCAGAAGCAGGCAGGAGCGAGAACGCCAGGGTGAGGGTTTCCGCCCCGAGCTGCGAGAGACCTACAAGGACCAGCGGGGCCAAGCACAGGTTACTCTGCACGACAAGGTTGTTCCTGACATTGCTCTTGTCGACAGCCTGAAGAAGGACGATGCTCCCAAACCTGTCAACGAAGGCCAATCGCCGCAACAAGTCCTTGGTCAAGGTACCCTTCAGCAAGCCACTGGCTCTCGTGCATCCCGATTCTTCCCTCGACCCACCGAGTCATCGCTAGAGGCAATGTCATCTTCAGCCGCGCATGCTTCAAACAAGGCCGACTCTCCTCCACCTCCACCGGAGACAGAAACGCACCCCGCCTTCAGCAGCGATGCGGGCCATCCGCTGGTTAGATTGCCGAAGCCTTCCCCTGTTGTACGTCTGCCTCCATCGGCGTCGGGCACTGCACCATCCCCTACTGCCCAGGTAACCATGCCATCGCGTGGACAGGCTCTGGGTGCCCGACCCCTCGCAATGAATCCGGAATGGCAGGCTAGGTTTAACAAGCTTCTCGACAAGCCCGGGTCCACGCGTCCAGCGTCTAACCCCGCCAATGCATCGTTACCTCCAGCCGTTCCGCAGCAAGGCGCTGTTGCCCCAGCTGCATTGTCAAAGGCTTCACTTGATGTTCGCGGGAGCACAGGACCTGCCACTGTATCTCTCCCCACTGCTCCACAGAGGAACCCCTTCTCAAACGATCGCGGTAGCGAGGTGATCACTCGCAAAGGCGCCGAGGCCCTCTTTGAAGATCGCGAGTTTGGCTCGTTACCCACGGTGAAACTGTCCAAGGTCTCTCATCTTGCGGCGGACCAGCCGCCAAAGGCTGCTCCCAAAGATGAACAGCATCCCAAGTTTAAGAAGTTCGAGAACCCGTTCACGATTCGTCGACTTGAAGCTTTTGACATTGAGAAGACTGCCCAATACAAGGGTAAGTTTGACGTAGTCATACGAATTGCCAATATGCGAGAGCCCGTGACAAAGTCTGTTCAGAGGAAGCACTACGGCCCCAAGCTCAACCGACAGGCCAAGCCCAAGCCTGCTGGCAGCCCGAATGCAGCCTTTTCCAACGCGGCCAAGGATCGCCCACGCAAGGCGTCGCAGCAAAGTCAGGCTGATCGCTCATATCCGAGCAACAGTACTACTCATCCGTCGGGGGCGAAATCGTGGTCTAGCAACAGCAACACCCGTACACCGTCAACTCACCAACCCACGACATGGGCCAAACTTGCAGCGGCCTAAGAGTGTTTTGTTCACGGTAACATTGCCAGACTGTGTTGACACTTTCGCTTGATGGCATCAAAATTTGAGCCCCGCCATGCAGATACATGACTGTTGTGATGTACTCATCATAACAAGAATACCATCCACACCTCATTTTTCTTCAAAAACAGTAAACTCTGCGGCATCTTGTACCACAACGTTTCGAGTGGAGCACAAGGTCGCTTTTTCGGGAGACAGTGTGTTCCCAATTTTTCTTTTCTCCTTTTTTTCAATTGCTAAGCATTCACTCGTGCTTTACATGCGATATTTCAGTTTCCAGGTCTGCAATGAGGGGATTTTCCTTGGACTTTCGTTCTTCTCCTCTTGCCATACCGGGCGTCTGGACGCGAGTATGGGTATTGAACGATACGAAGGGATGTGACCTCATGGATGCGGAAATGGGACGAGAACTAGAGCATTCATGTACTGCTAATAATATTCTGGAAACTTTATGTACTGTCTCCAACATAACGTGTGCTGACTATGTGATGTATGCTTGAGGATGTGAAGTGATGGTAATGTGGTAGTACCATTGGACTGAGTTCTGCGCAGAGCACAATTCGTAAGCATAGTACACTAACACCGATGAAATCTACTTCATATCCCTACAACATACTAGACACTTCAATCTCTAACCCAGCCACACTTTTACATTGTTAACGAATCTTTGTCCCCCCAAAACAACCTCCTGTCAGCCCCGAATCTAGGCCCTTTTGTTTTGGCCACCATCCCTAAAAGAGCCCTCTCTCAGCCTACAGAAAAGAACATGGACGCACATCACTCTACACCTCTTCCAAGCGTCAAAGCGAATTTTCGTAATGCTCTACATTTGGACTCCCCGAGGTTGAACTTGTATGGTGGCGGGGCCGGCGGCGCTGGAAGACGAGGCGGAATGGGTAAGCTAGAAAATTAGCTTGGCGAGTGTGGAAAGGGGGGATCATGCATGGGTAAGGGTCGGGTCCTAGGCAGTGCTGAAATTGGGCCTTCTAGTAGATTTTCCAGGTGCCCATTCGGTGTATGTGGGTGGGACTTCGAGACCATGTGGGGTGTGGGTTGTTGTGTTCCAGGGTGGCCATGTATTTTCTACCGGGTGATAAGTTTGTGGTTCTTGGGTCCAGCATCTGCAGATGCTGTTGGTGCAATGGATTTGGACGGGTGAGGCGTTCTCGGAGGAGGATATGTAATGTGTTTCGTGTTGTTGGAAGGGTTGGGACATGTATGGTGTATGAGGGTCGTACCGTGTGTTCAGGACAGGGGGTTGAGTGTTGCTGGCTTCGTAGCCTGTATTCCATGGTGCATGGCCATTTGATTGCTGGCAGTATGATTGCGATATGAAGGATATTGCTTTGTGAGAAGATTCGTCCCTCTCCTCTTTCAGTGGATGTCCAGTGAATGTCTGTGACGCGTGGTCGTCGTGCTCTATTGAAGGATGCGGTATGTCGTGATGTTCAAAGTTGGCAACGCTGGTATCAGGCAAATGACTTGCTGATACTGGAAACATGTGTTGCGTAGACAGTGGGTTTGTAGGGATAGTGAATGCAGCTTCTTGTTCGGATGCTTGCTGCGCAAAATGATACTGCTCATAAGCGATGGCATGCGCTGAAGTCATCATCTCTACTCCTGTTTTGCATATCGGATGCTTGGAAGCGCTGGTATTTTGGTTGTGCTGCGGAAGTAGATGGTCTGAGGTGCCTTCGAGGTGAACAAATTCCACTAGGAAATCGAGGGCATTCATGCTGATGGAGCCGGTGAGTTGCATAAAGGAGAGAAGGGATGTAGTTTATTTTAAAGTATATAAGAAAGAACAGACTGAAATGCGACTATTCCAGAGATACGGTCGTTCACACGGGAGAGTTAAATGTCACGCGGAAATTACTCGTACCAGACGGGTGTCACGTCTCATCAGTGCAATGTGATGACCACATCGGCTTTGATACTGACGCAAGCCAATTTCTCTGATAGTCACGCGATCCTTTCAACTCTTTCGTTGAATGTGACCATTCTTATTTCGAGTTTCTCAAACCTACCTTCATACTCGGTAGAAGGACTCCAGACAAAGAGAACGATGAAGCTTGCTCGAATCTCTTCAAGGAAGCGAACAGCCATATCCAATGTCCAACTCTCAAAGGTGCTCGAGTATCTGCCTTGTTGTTGTGTTCTGAGAAATCACAACCCGCGCAGGTTATAAGACGAAGTTCACCAGAGCGTATCCCTGTTAATTTGTTTGAGTAATATGCTTTATTCCACAGCAGGGTGACCGAGTCCGAGGTATGACGAGGCGGGTTTGATCAGATGATGCTATATCGCGGATGTCGTGTACGTATTCCAGATGCATTTCCACCATAGCCGTTTCAAGAAAATCATATTGTCAAACTTTATGAAGTGTCACTGCGTTGTGATTGCCCCCTGCACAGTATCGTGAACTGTGGTGCCTGAGCGTCTGTCGCTAGCGCGGGGATTGTTGACCTCCATCCCACCATACCCAATCTATCCGTATCAAGACGTGCGCGCAGCGCGACGCGTTAGATGTGTCGGTTCGAACTCTTGAGCTTGCTTATAGTCTTTTGCCAGCGTCTTGCTTCGCGAAAGACGCGATCTCGCCCGAGGACAAGCGACTTGCCGTTGCCGCGACCATGCTACACGAGCTCCTCCTCTCGCTCTCCGGACACCCATCCCCGCTCTTCGATGCCCCTGACCACGTGACCTCGACTGCTGATCGTCTGCTCTCTCCATCGGAGAAAGAACTGTTGTCTTCAATCGGCCATCTTTCCAGGCTACACCGAAAACTGCGCGACCATGCTGCTTGGATTGCCGCTTCTCATCCTTCCATCATCTGTCGAGCAGTCGCCACGTCAATCACATCACATCACCTCGAACAGTTTCAACAGAAAATACTTGATGTTGAAAGCCGCATCCTTAAACAAGATGCTTCGACTGTCGGTGCGTACAACATTGTGCCACTTGCCGGGGTCGTCAGCGAATTTTCGGAATGGGTCAGGATCATGGAGTGGCTCTGGGACATCACCAACTATATGATTCCTGCGGAAGCTTCTTACAAAATCGAGAAAATGCTTAGCCAATCCGCTTCAGGTGCTGGAATCATTGATAAGCTGCGGGCGGAGGCTCAGACTGGGTTTCCTGACATTGAGGAGGCCGCACATGGCCTAAGCAAGGTTGCAGAAACATCGTGGCTACGGCAACTATCGACGTGGTTGCTGTACGGTCGCCTGCCTTCGTGTCGCATTGATTTCTTCATTCAGCAAGATGACGAAGATGCTGAGGAGCAGATTTTCATCTTGCAGAGCAAGTTGCTGCCCAAGTTTGTAACAAGACAGACTGCTCTTTCAATCTTGTTCGTTGGAAAGTCGCTCAACCAGATCCGGTCACTACCATCGGTGACAAAGGCACTGGACGCCACCAATTCGCTTTCAGAGCTTGATCTGCTACCCAAGCACGTTCAGCAACTCTCTGAAGTCACCGCGCCAATATCAGTAGCGAAGCTTTCCGAAGCTGTAGCGAATATTCGATTGTCGCTGTCACGAAACCTTCTGCAGCATTTGCTGCCACGCGAGAAGATTGTCGAGACCTTGACCGTTCTGCATCAGTTTTTTCTCATTGGGCGGGGTGAATTTGCCTTGACCCTGATCGCTGAGGCGGATGATAAGATGTCGTCGCGACACCGCAATTCATTGTCAGGAAAGTCTAGCCAGTCAGTGAAGGGTGTATTGCTCAAAGAAGCGGAGATCAACCATATCCTTATGCGCTCCTTCTCCATTCTTTCGACACTCTCTAGCGAGGATGAAAATACGGATGACATCCTGGATGTTGCAACACAGCTACTACATCTAAGTGTAAACGGGTCTTCCAGTCACCGCCCTGGAACACCGGGACGTGCCAAAGACGCCGACTCCACGCTTCCACAACTTCCGAATCTGTCCTTTGATGAGTTGCTGCTGTCTGTGCCAACATCTCTCACGATGGACATTCGGTCACCCCTTGATCTATTCCTAACAAAGGCAGACCTTGACGTCTACTCATCGATCAATTCTTGTTTACTTGCAGTCAGGCGGGCTCATCTACACTTGGCTGAACTATGGAGGCACAGTTCCATACGGAGAGACTACCCATGTCCCCCAGGACATCAATACAGCAACTCTGCGCACGGAAGAGCAATACTCAAAAGACGCCGTCAACGTACTACAAAAAGATCGCAAGACATGCGAAAAATCTGGGCCACATGCGCAGCTGCAATTTTCTTCTTAGCAGAAAGCGAAGCCTACTTTCACGGGACCGTAGTCCAGCAAACCTTCCGCCACTTCATCACCTGGGTCGCCGGCCCACAAACCCCTTCAGACCCACCCACAGCACCACCCAGCCGCCCTACCTCCTCTAGATTCCGCAGATCCACAATCGATGCCAACACCCAGCAACAGCACGATCCCGAGGCCTTAGCCTCAGCCCACCGCCGCTTCCTCTCCTCAATCGCCTACTCCCTCCTCCTGACCGATCAATCCTTCACCAAAACACTCCGCACACTATGCACTCACGTAGACGAGCTAGTAGCGTTCATCACGCGCCTCACTAAAATCCAGCAGAATCTCGACCTGGAAGAAGATGAAGGTGTAGAAGACTATGCCCAGAACTACCAAAAGGAAGAAAAAGACGTTAGTATCGAAATGGATCGTGCGAGACGAAGACTAGATAGCGACCTCAAGGCGCTGGTGGACCGGTTGCGAGAAATAGATAGTGAGAGAATCGGGGCTTCAGCGCCTGGCACGGCGAGTTCAGTCACGTTGGGCGAAGGGGCGTATGAGCCGTTGAGGGTAGGAGGGATTGACCGGTTGCTGATGAAGCTTGATTGGGGCGGCGAGGATGGCGAGGGAGAGGCTGTGGTCGAGGATTTGCTGTAGTTGCAGGGTTGGGGTTTGCTTTGGGAAATAGAGAGGCATGCCGTTGTTCTGAGTTTGACGGTAAAAAAAAGTATTACTCGATGCGACTAGATAGCTTTTCTCTTTGATAAACAATCGCACCAGACTAGGAAAGCATATCATTTCTCTGTTAGCCAGTATATATGATCAATGCGACATAGGCTCTCACAGAGTATCGATTGATTTCTCGTTAATCGCCCTTGCACATCGCTTATGGTCAGTGTGACTTGTCACAACCAGACACCATCATAATTCAAAACTCAAGATTCAATTACCAAAAAAACGAGCTCCACCCGCTTTCGACCAAAAAGTTTGCGGGCAACAAAAAGAAAAAAGAGATGGTTCGAGAGGTCGTACCCGGGTTCGAACCGGGGTTACCAGAAGTTTTTTGACTAGCAAGTCAAAATCTGGAGTGATAACCACTACACTATACAACCGATGATGTTTTGATGGATGAATAGGTCGTTAACTAATATATCATGTGATTTACAAAAAGAGTGAACATGAGGTGGACGCAGCTGCTAGTTATCATGTATGATGGGTGCGGGGCTAGCAGGGAACAGTCACGCTGGTTGGTGGGGGTACATTGGCGCAATCGCAGTGCTACTGGATCGGTACCTGACTGCAGACATGCAATGTGGGTTGGGGTTCGTTGCGATAGGTCATCGACGTATGCAAGGACGACTACATGTTCATTTTTGCACCATTACAGAGCAAGCCTAAAAAAAATAAGCGATTTGTTTCAAGAGTCGCGAAGACTCAATGGACATATATCTCTCAAGGATATCCGTATCTACTTTTTATATATCATTAACGTACAAGACATTTCATACACATTACTGACACGCTGATCAGCGAAGAAAAAGAAATCAGGGTGTTGGATTAGATTTCGTAGCCGCATGTGGCGAGGTGCTTTTCGCCTTCTTCGGGGACAGTCCACCTGGATTCTACGCCGATGATACCACGGGCGGTGATCATGGTGGTGTTGATGGGGCTCTTGGGGATGATTGTTTCGCCGCGGGTGGCGAGGATGGAAAGGACGTGTGCGGCGGCCTATATGTTTGTCAGCCAACTATCTCCTAATATAAATCAAGGTTTGGAAGTGGAAATGGAACATACCTTTGCGTTGATAGTTAGAGTTTCAGGATTAGGGTTGTCGATTGTGTCGCAAGCCTGGTGGTAGCAAGGGTCCTGCTCGACGCCTGTGCCGGTGTGCAGGCCGCCGACGGGCTTGCCGATGTTCATGAAGGATTGGTAGTCGCTGCCGCCAGTGAAGCGGGCCGCGGTTACATTTACGCCTTTGCTGGTGAAGTGCTCGACAAAGAGCTTTTCGATTGCGTCGGAGCCGGGGGCGCCGGTGAGGTTGTAGGTGCTGCCGTCGCCGTCGAAGACGCCGAAGTAGCCACGGGAGACCATGTCGAAGTTGAGGTATGTGAGGATGTTGTTGGCCTCGGTGGCATTGAGGTTCTGGGTGTAGTATTTGGAGCCTAGGAGGCCGTTCTCTTCGGCGCCCCACCAGGCAAAGCGGACTTTGTTCTTGACGTTGAATCTGCGAAGGGCGCGGGCGATTTCGAGAATCAGGGTGCTGCCGGAGCCGTCGTCGTTGATACCTGCACCGGCCTGGACACTGTCGAGATGCGCGCCGAGCATGATGACATTTTCGGGATCACCGTCCTTGGTCTCGGTGAAGACATTCTGTGTAATGCGTTCCTCGATAACCTGGGTTTGCTGAAAGTGGGCCTCGACAGTCTCGCCGGCGGTAAGCCGGGCAACAATGGGCTCGGCGTCAGCGAGGTTGATGTACCCAGTCGAGACGTACTCGAGTGGGTTGGGGTTGGAGAGGGTTCCGCCAGTGACATTGGACCGATCACTGGCGTAGATAACGACGGCTGATGCACCTGCGGCTGCAGCTGCCTTCATGCGTCCGGCGAATGTGGTACCGTCTGGGCATGAGCCGCGCTGCACGAGAGCAATCTTTCCTTTTACGTCCAGATTGCTATATCCCTCTTTTGTGCAGCCCGCAGCTCCGGTAGCACCCAGCGCGAGCGGAAGCGTCAGACCTTCCGGTGGGGTAGAGGGAGAATACGTCAATCCTACAACACGGTACGAGGTGTTGCTCACCGTGAAATCGATGGAATCGACTCGGTTGAACAGAGCAGGGAAATCCTGGGTCCATGTCTTGAAATGTGTATTTTGTGTCTTTTCAAGTATGTAGTCGACCGAGGCTGCATAGCCAGGAAGACCAAACGCACGGTTTCCACCATTGGCCTTTGCAATCGCGTCGAATGCCTTCAGATTGCCCATCAACCTGTGTTTTTGTTAATGAATTTTCCTTTAAAAGGACAAAACCAAACATACTTTTCGCTTGTGATCTGGTCCTGAATAGCTCCTGACGAGACAATAGGGCGAGGTCTGACTGCGGCCATTGTTTGCGCCGCGCCCGCAAGGGCGATTGCACTTGAAAACTTCATCTCGGCGATTCAATCAATCAAGTCTTGAAGTGGTGCGCAAGGCATTTCGTTTTCGCGGACAGCGAGGCATCTTCATATAATACGCGATTTCCACCAAATCTTGGTAAACACCGGATCCATGGATAAATGCACGCACAGCATCGTCGTCGGTCCACTCTTATCACGAGCTCAGCCTGTACTGCGTCCGGAAAAGAAGGTCGTAAGAGTGTTGATCCTTTTTTGCCAAAAGGCCAAGGCTGGTTCTGAGATACCTGCCAAAAAGGACGTTAGGCCAGCTTGGCGTAGAGACGGACATTGCCACAACGTTGGCTTGTGTCTGCGGGAAATTAATGGTTACAGGCGGACCAGGATCGATGAATTGACCAGGAGCGATAGCAACCGTGGATCCAAACAGCCTCAACTCGGCTGAGCGTTCGTCATCGTCGCCACTCTAATCGGGTACGACGGCTGTGTGCCGTCTATCTGTTCACCATGGTTTCAACGACGTGCATAGAACATTGGAGAAGGCTTTTCACGAAGGATTCTAGGAAAAAAACACAAGGCAAGAGGTGGGAAAGATATGGGCTGAAATCTAGCGGGACTTGTCTTTAATAGTACTTAGAGTAACGAGCACCCAAATGTCAAAAGCCGATATTAGGAGGACGCAGCTTCTGCAAGTGCTGCATGATGGGAACAGTCACATGGATGGGACAAGAAGTCAGAGAACAAAGACATGGCGATTACTGACAGTATTATCTCTCACCATTTAGCAGAGGGGTGCGCTCACTACCTTCCGAAACCCCGTTTCCGTTAGCATGACCTACCATCTGGGCTTGCTGGGCTTTGCGATCCCTCAGAACGAAAGAAATACCCATGGCTAGTAGGAAGCCTTGCAGAATGCCGGTAAAGATGAACAAGCCCCATGCACTCCAGCCCGCCGGCCCTAAGCGTGCATATAGACTGGCAGCGAAGACAAAACTGCCAGGCGTCTGGATGCACATCATGGGAATGGAGAGGCTGCCTGTCTCTTGCAATTTCCAAGTCATGAGGATCTGAGGTATGTATTGTATGGCTGCAAGCACAGTAGCGAGGAGACCGAGAAAGTTTGCCCAGCCGCGGACATGGGACGGGAGGGCGTATACGAAGACTACGGAGCCAAATAGAGCAACAACGAAGAAGGCAATAGACACGGCCAGGACCAAGACGGCTTCTTTCCATGTTGGCATTTCGGAATCCTGCTCTTCCTCTGCAATGGATGGGGCGTCTCGGGGGAAGAAGATGAGGAATAGTAGCATGCTTGAGGTGGTTGTTAGTACTGTTATTGATGCTGCCGCTCGTGATGATGTCCTACATGAAGAAGAAGCAGCTCCACTGCACAGCTATTTGAACTATTCCCAGCATGGCCGCTGCACAGGGAAAGGTGCCGATTTCTCTGCAGCAGGCCATGTCTCTTGTGCTCTCAGGCAGGGTCAGGATGTTGGCGATACTGGCCGTGCCAGACACGGTGCCGAGCAGAACGAACATGGGACTGAGGCCGCGGGAAGAGCGGCGGGATATGATCTTGTAGTGCTGGGGGAGGTATGAGACGAGAATACCAAAGACGATGAAGCTGTGAGGCGTGGAGGTCAGCCAGGTGCATTTTGCCATGGAATGAATATGTGAATGTATATCGGACGTACACGGAAACGGAGAAGTTGACCAGGTCGGGGTACTGCAACTCGGTGCATCGCTCATTATGGGGGTCCATGGCTGCAGTGTATTATGTGTATTAGACAAAATGAGGCTGTCTTGTTGTCACTATGTCTTGTCAACTGCGTGGCTCACTCGCAGCCGTGACAGTCGGTGAATGGGGGCGCGTACGAGTGTGACGTATAGGCTGCACACACGCGTCGGGCAGACAGGCGAGGTACGCAGTAGTAAGCTCCGAGCATGCCTCGGCTGCAGCGCGCGTGCCTCCGTGCCTGTCAACAAGCCCATGGCACATTCTCAACCTCATCTCAGGGCATCAATGAAGACGCAACCAGCCCGTCTGCCCATCTCTGACCGGGCGCCATGGAGTTCCTGCCCGCCCTCCAGCATGGCATAGACGACCTCAAGCCCTCGCTGTTTGAACTGCTATCGGAACAACAACTCTCATCGCTGCTCCCCCCGTCGCTGCGCTACCTGCTCGCCGTCGCAACGCCCCGATACCCACGATATCTGCTGCCCGTCCTCAATTCGTTCGATGAGGTCTACGCGCTGTTGATGCTCCTCGTCGAGCGCCACTTTCTACGCACCTATGGCGGCTCCTTCACCGAGAACTTCTACGGCCTCAAGCGCGCCCGTGTACTGAGGGTGCGAGGCGGCGAGATCCCCCGCGCCCAGCTCGGCGCATCCGACAGCGTCAGAGAGGCCGTCAAGCTGGGTCGCGATGATGTGTGGAAGAACCTCGCCGTGCTCGTTGGCCTGCCCTGGCTAAAGAGAAAGTTGGACGAGGGCTACGATGTCCATGCCGCCCATGCCAACCTGCTCGGCCCCGGCTACAACCGCGAAAGAGAAGGACTTAGAGCCGGCGCGACCATCAAAGAGCGTCTGATGCACTACTACAAGTGGTTTCTGCGCAATATATACCCCAGTGTCAACGCCGCCTACTACTTCTCGCTGCTCGTCTTCAACATGGCATACCTGTTTGACGGCACAAAGTACCACTCGCCCTTTATGTGGCTCATTGGCTCAAGGATACGTAGACTGGGCGAGGCCGACCACAAGGCAATTGAGCTGGCTACGGCCCCAAGAAACATTGGCCCTGCGCGGCCCGGTGAAGGCGGATCCATCTTCTCCCCAAGAAATCTTGCCAGGAGTGTGCAGCCACGCCTATTGAGCTCGCTCAAGATCCTGCTCCCTACGAGCATCTTTGCCCTCAAGTTTCTCGAGTGGTGGCATGCCTCGGACTTTGCCCGGCAATTGTCACGGAAGGCAGCGGAGAACATTGAGCTACCACCGCCAATACTACCTTCGCTACCACCCTCGGCCAAACAACAGGGATCTAAACAGACGGACGCTTCCGAGAAATCACAGCCAACATCATCATCATCATCATCCGACAAAACCCAGCGCATCGATCCCCCAATATCCTCAACCACCCTCCTTCCCATATTCACAGTAGCCTCACCGCCCTCGTCAGCGTTGTGTCCTATCTGTGTTACACCCATTGTCAACCCAACAGCATCGCCCACAGGCTTTGTGTACTGCTATACATGCATACATCGCTGGGTTGACGGAGAGCATGATCGCCAAACTGCCTTTATGGAAGGCGGCGCTGGATTCCGAGCCGGGGACGACGAAGAGGGAGGCGATGAGGGCTGGGGCAAAGAAGAGGGCAGCCGAGAAGGAAGATGGGAGAGTGGGAAGGGGCGGGACGCGGTGACGGGTAGACGAGTGCTCGGAGGAACCGAGGCACTCAGAAGAGTAGTCGTGTGAGGCTGCAGTTGCAGCAATTCTAGATTTGAGCAAGCAGATAATGATACCACCAGCGTTACATGTTTTTTTTTGACAACCTTGGTCCGTCCTTTGTTGCAGTTGACACGTGACTGCACATGCTAATGAGTATGCAGAGTAAGCTGCAAGTGTCTGTTGGATTCATACACACAAATGTCTGGCTGCAGCTCAGCGCCCTTTGCATACCTTTGCATACCTTGGCACCAGTCTTATTGCACCAATACGAGTAAACCAACCTACATGCATATTCCTCAAGTGACTCATTTCCCATGATGCAATCTTCTCGATACGTGTCATGTGACTGTGCTGCACCGCTCTGTATGCTCTAGAGGCATAGGCACGGCCCACCGTTCGTGCTAGTGTGGAGAAGATGGATCCTAGACGCAGTAGCGGCTATGCAGCGGCGGATTCAGGCAACTCGGAGTCACAAGGCGCATGCAGTGCCGTGCTTGTCATCTGTCAATTCAAAGGACGAAGGGCGGAGGCTAGCGCTGTTATTATCACCAACTTCGCTTGGAGCTTCCGCATCGGGTTTGCAGCACTTTCGCAGCCGATGCCAACTGCCATCCTCTCACTCACGCCCCGCTCTCAATCCTTTACTTCTTAAACCTCCCTTCTGCCCCAGAGTTCCCAAAGCTTGATCAAACTCGATTTGAGAAAAAAAACTTTCCAAAATTTGGGGGCTTTCCAACCATGTCCGAGCCCATACCGACAGGTCACCCTGTCACCAATTTTGCAACCGATGTCACATCGCAAGTAGAAGGCTTTGTTCAAGCGCAAGACATTGCAGAAGAGGCGATTGCTAGAGACCTCGAGCAAGACAATGCATCGTCTTCTGATGATGACTCGTCGTCAGGCTCAGACACCGCGGCACAATTTTCCATGATCAACTCTTATCGCCGGCCATCCTGGGTAAATCCCGGCTCGCGATCAACGGCAATCATCTCTTCGAGCGTACCCGAGCGCAGCCATATGTCAACGTCGTGGAAAAAGCACAGCCTCCTATCCAAGAAAGAGAGAGAGCTTGTACGAAATGAGGAAAAGAGTTTGCTTCGCGACAATGATTTGCTGCCGCCCAAACATCCGAGATCTGAGAGTAGCGGTCCCTTTGATCGCCTGAGGTCCGACATGCCCATCCTTGGCCTACGCAGGGTTAAGAGCACTCCAGACGAAGAAAGCGCCATCGAATCCCTGTCCGAGCGAACTGCCCTACTAGGCGCTTCTGCTGGTAACCCAAACCAGCCATATGGCGGCCTGGATACACCAAAGACTATCAAGAAAAAATGGGACGAGGCGGTTGCAGCCGGAAAAATTAACACAACCTGGCAGCGCGAAACAAAAGTCTTGACCAAGACATCAGCACCACTAATCCTGACCTCCTTACTACAGTACAGTCTGCCAGTAGCCAGTATTTTCACCGTTGGACACATTGGCAAGACTGAACTCGGAGCTGTGAGTCTGGCTAGTATGACTGCCTCCATCACCGGATATGCGGTATATCAAGGTCTGGCGACTTCACTCGATACGCTCTGCGCCCAAGCCTATGGCTCTGGACGTAAACATCTCGTCGGTCTACAGCTGCAACGTATGCTGTGCTTTTTACTATTAATCACGATTCCGGTCTCAATGGTATGGGCATTCGGTACCCAGATCCTGTCCCTGATTGTTCCTGAAAAGGAAACGGCACGTCTCGCTGGATTGTACTTGAGAATTCTCATTGCTGGAGGACCTGGCTATGTCGCCTTCGAAAGCGGAAAACGCTATGTTCAAGCACAAGGCATTTTCAACGCTACCATGTATATTCTCCTCATCTGCGCACCGCTCAATGCTTTCTTGAACTGGTTCATGGTATGGCATCTCGGCTGGGGATTCATCGGCGCGCCGATTGCAGTCGTCATTACCGAGAGCATGCTACCTCTCTTGCTATTCCTATACGTCCGCTTCATCGATGGCTACCAATGCTGGGGCGGATTCGACCGTCGAGCCTTCAACAACTGGATGCCCATGATTAAGCTCGCGCTTCCGGGCTTGGTCATGGTACTTGCCGAGTTCCTCGCCTTCGAGATTCTAACTTTGAGTTCAAGTTGGCTGGGTCCTACTGCACTTGCCGCGCAATCTGTCCTTGGAACGATTACCGGCATCACGTTCCAGATTCCGTTCCCTATGAGTGTTGCTGCCTCGACACGCATTGCCAACTTGATCGGTGCCACGCTTGCCGTACCTGCGAAAACGGCGGCAAAGGTGGCTGTTTTTGCGTCTGTTTTGGTAGGCGTATTCAACCTCCTGTTCCTTTCTCTCCTTCGAGAAGCTATTCCGCGTTTGTTCACTCCGGATGAAGAGGTGATTGCCATGGTAGCCAATCTTCTCCCTCTTTGCGCTACTTTCCAGGTCGTCGATTCCCTCGCCACCAACTGCAACGGTATACTGCGTGGACTGGGCCGACAAGAAATTGGTGGCTATGTGGGCTTGTTCGCATACTACGTTGTCGGCATTCCAATCAGTTTTGGTACTGGATTCGGACCGCTACAATGGGGACTATATGGTCTTTGGAGTGTAAGTGGCACCAAATTTGAACAGATTGGGAAAAAATACTAATGCAATATAGGGTCCTGCCGTTGCACTTGCCATTGTCTCAGCAATCGAAGGCTGGTTTATCTGGCAGACGAGCTGGGACAGCGCCGTTGAAGCCGCAAAGGCCCGCAATTCTGCCAATTAATTCTGCTACAAAAGTATCTTTTTTCCTCGCATTTAGCGCTAATGACGTCATATTCAGAGCATGCAGAGACGACTTGATGTAAGATCAAAAGTAGCCCTAGAGTTGTAATGTGTGTGCCTGACACAAGTCACACGAATTTTATTTTTTATTCGTCAAATTCATTTTCTCGCTACAACTGTGTCGATTTTGATTGACAGGCCTCTTCAGTTACAAGACAAACCATTAGGACCATGTTTTCCGTGAACAGTTGCAATTTCTTCTCCACTCCCAGACATGACATCCAACATTGAGGTACACAGGTATTGCATTGACTCTGCACTACCTCGAACTCAGCGGATTACTAATTTTGAATGAAGAAAGAGAACTGCAATATCTGCTTCAAAACTCCGTTTGGCTCATGTTGTAAAGTCAAACCACATGACATCACCATCCTTCCCTATAGCATATCTCAAGGGGGTCGCTGGCGCGAATTGCGCAGGAACCTAGCGCCGACTTTGCAAACCAGTAGGCTTCTCTATCAAACGCTTATCATCGTTGTTCCGTTATCTAACGGC